ATTCACAAGAGACTAAAGGAAACAGTACCTAATTTATTGAAGGATTAAAGGGAAAAAAATGGATCAAGTGCTTAGCATAGGTGGTCTAGTGGTCGGCAGGTCGAACTCACCTGGCAGCACTGCAGAAGAAAGGCTTGATGACCTGCTTCTGTAGAGATTACAGCCAAGAAAACCCTGTGGGCCGTTCTGTTCCGCACGGGGCTTCTGCAGGTCGAAGGCAGAGGGCCTGTGCTTGGGGCAGGATCCAGCATATTTCCTGTGGGACGCTCCTCACTAATTCCCGGGCCATTTCAACCTGCTTCCCCTCAGCCACAAACATCTCCTACTGCCTGAACTGCCTCGAGTCATTTTAGGACAAAGGTCACTTCCAGGTAGTGTTTAAAGATTCTGTACGTTTTGTCTGCTGCTTCCTGTCACCAGACTCTGGGAACAGAGTGGACTGAAGGAACGTTTCGTAATGAATTGAGGAGGCAGGCTTCCAGTGGCAGGGTACTGTGCCCACATCCAGGCTTTCCAGGGACAGTGCCCGGAAGTGGGGTTCTTCCTCAGGCTTCCCGGAAGCTCACCCACAAGAGCCTTTAGAGTGTGTTTCTCTCGGTACCCCACGGTTTAACATGGTGGTTACAAAGTACAAAGAACTGCCAGGCAGGCATGCCTAGGGACATGCTAGGACACAAGTTCTCAGTGAGACGACTACAGCAAATGTTTCGAAGACCTGAATTACAGCAACACCGCGAAACGGAAGCGGGAACACATTCCACTCTGCCCGTTGCTTTTCTCCAGAAACCTAGACTGAAGACTGTGGCTCCATTTTCTCTTTCAAGCGGAGAAATATCATTGAGCCCGAGTGTGAAGGAGAAGGAAGCCCAGCTGTTACTCAGGTCTCTGACCCTTGGTGGCCAGTGACCACCGGGACCGAGCCTGGGCTCTCCCTGGCCAACTGCCCCACCTCACCCACCCAGATGCTCAGTGTCAATGGCTGGGAGGCTTGACTTACTCTGCAGACCCCTAGACAGGGACCTTTCTGCTCAAATTGGTAAAACGAAGTCTCTCAAAAATGTCCCAGTGTGTGTGATTTCCAAGAAGCCATAATTAAAAAAAAAAAAAAAGCTCCTGAATAACTAAAATTCTACAAACTGGGAAGTTCACCTAGAAAACTTGTGGATGCTTCCCGGGAGGGGAACGGTGTGTGACGCTGCTGGAAGAGACCGTACCCGACTCCACAGGTTCTAGACAAGCCGTTTATTGGAAATGCCAACTCTATGCAGGATAAAGTCAGTGTTACATGCTTATCAGTAACAGTAGAAAAATAGAACCAGTGAAAACCTCTGTACACTGTAATGGTACTCAAGAGAAATGTATCCTTTTACAATGCTTCACACAGACGAGTTCAAGTTTGGAGGTACCTAAATAAAAATACTATATATTTCTTTAAAAAACACTATGTACAATTGAAGCGTAAACAAGTTTTACAAAGTACTGGTTATGCAGGTTGTAGAAAACACTTGCATAGGACATGAAATCAGTTTAAGAAAAATTTCTGAGCCTTTAGCGTTGAAGGCACTTGACTTTATACCAGTAACAGCACAACCACAAGAAGTGCAGTGTCGAGGACACCACCAGTCAGAGGGACAGAGGCGGGACATGAAGAGCAGGTGGAGCTCAGGGACCTTGACCTTCCAGCCCCTCCCACCAGGGCAACTTTCCGGACCACATGCCCACTCAGCCCAGACACACAGCCACACGCAGGTGCACGCAGTGAGGCATCCGGAGCACACTGAGCGCTTGGACAGACCCACACAGACAGACCCAAGAGGGTACTTTAAAGACACACTTGTAAATGTTTTTCCTAGGGAAACAGCCACACCATTACAGTAATCACAAAATGGGAGGTACACACATGATCTTAGGGTTTTCTAGAGGGAAAAAAAATCAAAAGACTTGCCAAGACAGCAATTCTGTAACAGCCATTACAATTGCAGGACACAGAGACAACCTTTCATAAAACACTGTTCACACAACAGTGTTCATGAGAAATGAAGACACCTCCTAGCAGTGTGCATGTAATTCTTTTAGTCAGAGGAGCTGCAATGAGGTTTGAAAGTAAATTACTTGTAGACAAAGTCATCCATTGCAAACCTGGGGATAGCACCCATCACTGCTGTTTGAGTAACGACAGAAACTGAGGGTCAATCAACTCATTACAAAAAGTCAACTAAGCATTTCTCTTTGAACTCAGCCCTAAGATACAACACGAATCTTTAGAATTGCAAAAAGTGTGTTTCATGAAAGATGTCTCTCCCCTCAAAGGCGAATGAACTCCCATGAGGACACATTTTGCCCAGGTGGCTACCGAGCAGCACTCGCCTCGCACCCCCAGACGATGACACGCCGATGCCGCTGCGCCCGCCCCTGCCGCGCTGCCCTCCCCTCTGTATCTGCACCAGCACAGGAAGTCAACTGCAGAACTGTGCCCACTGCTAGAGCTTGACCAAGTCGAAAGGGTGGCGACTGTAATCAAAACAGTTTGTGAGGAAGCTCACACTAGGATTAGTTCTGCGAAAAGACAAACACACAGAACGCTAACTGAAAGTCAGTATAACCTAACTGGTTACTAAGACATCGGGCTGGCTGAGGACTGGGGGTGTGTGAAGAAGGGTGGGTTGCCTGAAACACTGAAACAACTTCGTTTCAGGAATGTTCATCTTTCATGTCACTATTTTCCTAAGGAATCACAGGTGACTTTGACCTTAATCATCAAAATCATATAACTAACACAAAACACAAGAAAAAGACCAATAGCCCCTTGAAGAAATGGGCATCTCTTTCCACTCGATGTGCACAGCAGTTCTCAGCCTCACGCCGTGGTCCTGAACAGAAGCAGTGATTGTCTGAGTGGCTGCTTGCTGAAGCCTCAAGAGGAGATGTGGGATTTCAATGATCTGGTCACAGGCCGGTCCCTGCAGCCTGACTGCTCTACTCCACATGCATATTTTTTTTCTGAGAGCAACCTTGCCCAGACTTCACGTTGTCTTAATGCAGCATAAAACACGGTGTCCACATGGGACCCAAAGCCAGAGGCACAGTGCCCTTTAACCTACACTATGAACCCTACTCCACAAGACACAGTAAGTCCACTAGTGCCCACCTGACACACACACAAACAACACCTGTCCACAGCTGCAAGTCCCATCAGTCCAAAGTCCCACGGATTAAAGCACTTCCTTCTGTACAGAGTGTAGACACACTTGCTACTAAATTCTTAAAGGCTAACTTCATAAATTAAACATTATGAAGCCAAAAAAAAAAAAAACCCACACAAACTCACTGCCGTGGAGTCAGATCTGACTCATAGCGACCCTTCCTTGGGTTTCCAAGGCAGTATCACTATGAAAGTAGATTGCCCAATCTTCCTTCCAAGGAGTGCCTGGTGGGTTTGAACTGCCAGCCTTCTGGTTAGCAGTCAAATACCTTAGACACTACACTACCAGATCTCTTAACATTATAAATAGTGACCCTTTATTCCTGTAACTCTATTTTAGGGATTTGAAAGAATATTCACAGAATTTTTAGGCCAAGGATGTGTGGGATCAATAGCTCTGGCCTCACATTTTAATAAACTAGGTCACAGATAAAAGTGCCCCTCCCCCCCCATTAGGTCAATTCATTCTTATTTGTAGTACCAGCACAGAACAGTCTGATTCAGAGAATATTTAAAACTCTATCAAAATGATTCACCTCAACATGTATCAACACACGTGAAGGGATACGATAGGATTCCAACTTGTTTCTGACAAGAGACTGAGATTGGGCTTCAGAAGACACTACTGTCTAGTAAGAGTCAAACCTCTGAAAAATGAAACAGTCCTATGTTTTCCTATCTTTAAAAAAGGAGCCTTGAAGGACGTGCTTGGCCGACCTTCCAGTTGACGCGTTTCCTTGGCAACTTGGGGTCAGTCGGCACCCCCACCACGGGCCGGACGTACCAGTGGCAGTGACCAGTCAGGCGGCAGAACACGCAGCAGCAATCTGATGGCATCCACGGCTACAATGCTGTGTTTCCACTTTTGAGATTATCTACTGTTAGGATTTCTTAAAATGTCAGCTTATTCCTGAGTGTAAAATCCACAGGGAGAAGTAGGAAAAGACTGTAAGAAAAACCACAGTCTGGGGAGAAATCAGAGCTGTTGACACCCAATAGAACCCTATTAAAAGTGCATGTAATTCATTTATATGGTAGTTTGTAAAGGCTCCCGAGCCCTGCATAGTTCAGAGTGAGAGTGAGTGACTCAACGTTACACATACGTACACATACGTAGAAAAGAGCTTTCCAAGCATCCTGCCCACGACGGAATGATCAGAGAGGCTCCTTCCTTCTAAGTGCTACAGCTGTGTGTGTGTGTGTGTGTGTGTGTGAAAATACAAAGTGAATGTTGAAATAATGCTGAAGTGATTTAAAAACTCAAATACTAATATATTTACATTGGACAGTAAGAAAAAACAGTCCTTAGCTCACACACTGCCCTTGCAAGGGAGAGGATCTTAAAGTAGCCCCCATGCTGCTGGGTTCAGAAAAAGGCCCAAACCAGCATCCCCCGAGGAGTTCAAGCAGGACGTGTAGTGTTTAAGTGGAGGGGGAAGAAAAAAAATTTTTTTTTTGACAAAGCATTACACACTATACAACCACCTTTCAATGGGACAGCAACATTTAGACATACTTGGAAAGACCTTTGAAAGAAAACAAATGCTTACAAACACCAAATGACACCCATAAGACTGAAGCCCTTTTGTTTTTTGTTTTTTTGTTTTACCCCAGAGAGCAGGACAACAGGGGGCAATGAGCAGTTGTTCCACCCATCCCAGCCGGAGAGTCGGTGCTCAGGATCAGAACACAGTCCGCGGAGCCCCGAGCTGGGCCTTCCCACTGCCTCATGCTTTAGTCAATCTGCACTCTCTAGACCCTCATTCAGCAGTGCTCTTATGCACACTGCTGGAACTGTCAGGAACTGTGGCACAGAGGCCAGCCTGTGAGCTAAGCAGCGGCTTTCGCTGGGGCACGGAAGGCTGTTCTCCTCCCGTGATCTTTACAGAACCACAAAGTTCAGGATCCTGAGTGGACTCCCAGTGGAGGAATGGAGACTACCTCCTAAGACGTATTAAAAGAGAAAGACATTAGATTACTGGCGACTGAGCAGGAAGATTGTTGAACTAAAATCATTACTAAAAAGAGAGGAAGATTCTGATGTGCTGTTCTTTGGAATTTCTATAATTAAAAAATAAACCCAGAACTATTTCATAAGAAAATACATCTGAGTGTGCAATCCAATGCACGTGGGAGTCGGGAGAGGTAAAATGCTAAACAGTATGAAAATACAGTCCTTTAAATGTGGCAATAAAGTTCAGCATACTGATATAAAACCAAGACCGATAAAATAAACGTACAAGTGCAAAAAAAGCCGTCATCGGTAAAGAGAAAGAAAGTGCCAGGTTGCTTGCTCTCAAAAACGCTTCCCCACACCACAGTTCAAACACAAAACAGACAGACGCAGCATCGGGAACACCCCTCTGGGCATGCCATGTCTACTAAACACATACAGAGACGAGGGCAGATCATGGGAACCCGGGCTGGCAGCTGGCATCACTACACTGGCCTGTAGCTGCTGGGTTGCATCCTAAGCGGGACGTCTCACATCTCAGGCACAGACGACGTGGAGGGTGCTCTCAGAGGGCAGACTTTTTGTAGAGGAAGTCGGGCTTGCTTGGTGACCTCCTTCCTCTGCTAACTGATTCCTCTCTTTCCAAATCCGGGTTTCTCTGAGCTCCGGGCCCCAGTGACTCACTGTCTGCCAGTCTCCTAGTGGATCTCTCTTCTGGAGCATCGGAGCTACACGAAGGACGGGAAGGTCGGTTAGAGGTCAGCCCAAAAGTCAAGTCGGTTTCTCCTGCTGCTCGCCCCCTGCCGTGGGCTGCACCGTGGCCAGCATTTTCTGGAGCTGCCAAAGGGAAGTCTGGCCGCTGGGGAGGCGGCTCAACAACATCGAGGTGGATCGGCTCACTCTTCTGTCCGGGTAGATGCCCGTCGGGGGAAAGCAGGTGCTCCCGCCCAGCTTCTTCCTGTTTTTCAGGAGAGGCTTGACTAGCCAGGTAGGCTGACTTTAAGCCCATCGGTGAGGCTTTACTGTGGCTGTACAAATCGGGACCCAAATAGCCACCTTGTGAAGGGGGAGGGCTCCGTCTGCCGAGAGCAGGAGTGGAAGGTCTGCAGGCAGCGTTTGAGAAGTCGTAGAGATCCGGACACTCCTGCTGACTCTCTCGCGGATCCACTTTTCGCTCCAGGGTGTGTTTCTTCTGAGAAGCGTGTGCATGCCTCTGCGGCATGCACGGCAGATGCTGGGGAGGCCCCGGGCCTCCTCCGGAAACTGTCTGGCTGAATTCTGTCTCTACAGCGAGTTCTGGAAGCCCCCTGTCCTTGAGGGACAGTGTGGACACACCCATGGCAATATCTGGCATTAGGTCATTTAGCACAGGGTGTGTATACTGCGAAGAGAAAAGAAGGCGGTGGTTAAAAAAGACTAGGAATTCTTTGTAAAGATACAAAATGTTCACTGTTTGATTATTTTACAGTTCAATGTTGAGCTCACCTGCCTTGCTTTTTTTCTCCTGAAGTGTTATTCTGTTAACACACACAGCAAACACACACCAATCCAAGTTCCTACACGTACAATTCAGTGCCACTGCTGACCCTCTCCGAGCTGTGCGGCCACTGCCACCCTCCTTTCCTGAGACGCTCCTCCCCCATGAACACAACTCACTGCCCCTGGAGGTTCTCATCTAACTTTCCAAGCTGCTACCGTCAATTTGATTCCACATGGGTAGATCTAAAAGAGCATAATTCTCAGAGGCAGACCCTTTTTTTTTTTTTTTTTTTATATTAGTTAAGCTAAACTATTGTTTGATTTTAATAAGACTTCAGGGGATATTTTTGGTTTAGGTTTAAACATGACCTTAGGGCAACAGTTTCAGGGGTTATACATAGTTATTCTTAAGAAAACTGTAAAAGCAAAAAAGAAATCACCCCTAACTTTCCCCAGAGATGACCTCAGTGAACATTTTGTGGTATTTTGAAGTATTTCCTTCAATGTTCTCTGGATGCACCATATGAAGTTACTGCGTGACATTCTGGTACACTGATGAACCAGGACTTCGCCATCCTACCAAAAACACCACAACCAAACCCACTGCTATCGAGTCAGATCCGACTCACAGCGACCCCTCCTTGGGTTTCCCAGGCGGTATCACCACAGAAGTAGATCGCCCAACCTTCCTTCTGAGGTGTGGCTGGTGGATTTGAACTGCCAGCCTTCTGGTTAGCAGCCAAGTACCTTAGGCACTATGCTACCAGAGCTCCTGGACATTTAGGTTGTTTCCAATTTTTCATTATTATAATCAAGACTATAATGAAAATACAAATAAATCACCTTTAAAGGGAGTTTTATTAAAATATAAAGTAGTAGAACTTCTGTGGGAGCTCTGGTAGCATAGTGGCTAAGACACTTGCCTGCTAACCAGATGGCTGGCGGTTCAAACCCACCAGCCACTCCTCGGAAGGA